GTTCGAAGAGAAATTGATAAATTGATCGCTACTTTTCAAGTGCAACATGAGACTCTTGGTGTATAATCAGGTTCGTAGATAGGCTGAACAGTTCTATAGCTTGTGACTTACTTGGGCATTAAAATGCATCAATTTACACTCATAAGGGCGCAAATTTTACAGTACTCATTTGATGAATTCATTGTTTGCAAAGGTGGAGATTATCTTATCCCGTTGAGCACTTGAAAGATCGTTTTAATCAGAATTAGACTTCAGGTTCTCCTGGCTTTCCTGGCAAGAAAGGTGAACCCGGAATACACGGTGTGCCGGGACAAGCTGGTCCTATCGGAGAGCGTGGAATGCCCGGTGCACCAGGTCTACAAGGCAAGTACATTCACGGAATGAGTCACAGTAGCGTGTAACTAGCTCTGATAGAGCAAAAATTGTATCCTTCCACATTATCCGATATTATTTTCAGGCCTTACGGGACCGATTGGGCCACCTGGACAAATAGGACTTCCAGGATTGAAAGGTGATATGGGTAATCCTGGTTTCCCTGGCGCTAAGGGTGATCCAGGTAAAGATGGACTGCCGGGATTACCAGGTTATTTATAGATATTTGGACGAACTGCTGCTGTGTTCAACTGTTCTTCTCAGAACAACATGAATTCACTATCTTATTCAGCTTATTCTCAGCTTCTCCACTCTAGATATTCTTTAACGACTAATTTCGATTCAAACACCAACAATATTATTTTTGATCTTCTGATCATGTGATTACCTTTTGCTCATTTTTCATATATATGATTCAAATATGACAGATAACGTTCAGGATGGTTGGTCAGCGATAAAGGATATTGTATTCTTGCGTTAGGCAACTGTCCACCGTCATTCACACAGATCAGTGCATATCAAGCTCATGTTGACAACTACAGATTTGGTGATTACACACTGGTGAAGAACGCTGGTGAAGGTGCTCGAGAGGAGCAATTCGCACTCAGAGTTCATGCTTGCTGCAAGTGAATAAAAATTGTTCAGCGAAATATATTTACTTCACCCATCTGAATATAAGATCCTTCGATCATAATCTCCATCGGAAAATGGGCTTTTTCAAAACACTTCTGAGGGATCCGTTCTTTTCCTAGCGATTGCACTTTGCAGAGTGACTTATTGCCCAGAAAATCTTTTAGAGAAGTCCATTTCACTCAGGATCGTTTATATTCAAGAAAAGCTTAATTTCAAGGGATGTAAATTATAAAATATAAAAGGACAAAAGCACTCCGTATTATACATCAATTCATTTAATGCCAAAATCATTCTGATGATCAAATATGGAAAATCATTGATCCGGATTCATTCTTCTTATATCTTGTGTATGCATCGTGAAATCCGTTTGTTTGTATGATATAATGCAGTCACTGAAACGATTAAATGCTCCTCGATCATACATAATCTTGTATCATCTGACTAATTTTTTCAACTTTATCCATATAAAATGTTATTATGGAATTTACACCTACATTCAAACTCGTCATCATATCATTCAATTTTCCTACTTCATTTGAACTATTTAAGCAAATTTGTCAGCTCTGATCTGAAAAAACACTAACGATAAGTTATCCGAATTAAAAAAATTCAGTTCAGTATTTACTTCGAGCTGAAGTGTTGAGATTTGAACCGACAAGGTCTGCTGCCGTCTACATGAATGATGATAGATAGAAAATACAGCTCAGACACAATGCGATGTGATATAACTTTTTCCGTTTGGCTTTACAACAAACGACAGCTGATGCAAGATGAATTGTTCCGTTAAGAAACGTGACTCACCCATTGCTCTTATGATCTTACTGATTAGTCACGAGAGTTATCATTGTTGTTGCACTCTAATTATCATCTCCTACCTTTTCATTCTTTTAAGCTGACTTAACAGTTCTTCTCAGAAATCTCCAGTTTTCAGGCTAACTTTTCAAAACTGAATTCGATTTTGAATTTTTTTCTGCAGAATTTCTGCTTTAGCTATGAATGAATTCGATTTTGATAGCACATCAAATAGAACAAATAGAATTGATCCCATACTTAACTCGACATGAGCATTTCGTTTCGAGCAAAATTTGATTTTGCCAGCTTGAACGTACTGCCTAACCGTTATACCAACTGTGGAAAAGTCAAATTTCTGAAGCAATCTGAGCACTCGTGAATGAGTTTCATAACTGAGTTACAATGTAGAACCAATTAGTTCAAAAATTCTCAGATGAAGTAGAAGCAGCTGAAAGTTGATTGCAAGCGAATGGTATCCACTTTGCATTGCGGAGAAACAAACGTGAATTCCCAAAAATTGAAAGAGAATTGGATTTTGAGTTGAGGATCACTGAAATTTTGGTCGGTTTAAAACGTACTCTAGAATCGTACTCAAAGATTTCATCAGACAATTTTGGAACTTCTTATGAATCACCACATTGTTACAACACCTCATGGGAACACATGTTGCGAAGTCCACGTTATAAAAGTCGATCACTGTAATTATCGCTTCATTCAGATACAAACTTTCTTTCGAAATGGTCAAAAGTAGTAGGTTTTATTACTGGTTTAGTTGAACTTCGATTGTTTGTGTTGTCGTTTTTAAAAACTGTGGAGACTGCAGCAAGCCTATGGCTTGTGATTGATATTTTACTGTACTCGTTTAGTTTTCACAGCTTTTGCAATGAAAACGTTTTATTAGAGGTAGATATGGCAGTATCGGTTTTCGTAACTTTACTGGGCTTATTCATAATCGGTGGAATAGTAGAAGGTGATGATCCCAGTCCAAAGTTGGATTCGCTGACTGGTCGTGTCAACGATATTGAACG